TATTAACGGTAACCATATTTATTAAAATCGTTTCAATTCGTAATAAGAGTAGTTTACATACTTCTAGTCTAAATATATTTTTTAATATAAACTAGCTTTTTTAATTCTAAAATAAATCAATCTCAAGATTTACAAATAATTTTTCTTCAAAAAATACGTTCCAAAGCATCCCTGTTGATATCATAATTCAAATGCAAATTAGAATAGAAATTTTGATGTAAAAGATTTTCCGCGTATTCATCATACAAATTTATCACCTTACTTGTCCGTATGTCGCTCTGGAAATAAATATATTTTAATTTATATGTTTTCTTAAAAATAAATGCAAAATTACCTATTTTTTCCACCGGCAGGCACGAATATGGTATTCAAAACCGAAACAATGAAAACGAATTTTACACACATTGTTGTATTTTAGCGCAAAACGATAAGTTTATCAAATATTAAATTAATATATATATGCCTGGAACATTTACATTATCGTTATTATTGCAAATGCAAGACTTGGCATCCATTTTTAATTTCTTATTTAATCAATTCAAATGAATAAAAACAAACTTTTCTGAAATATTTCTCAATTTACATTTTAAAGTTTTTTCTGAAATTTGAATGTAACTCTGTGCGGAGAATGAGAGAATTGAAAATCAGATGATCTCAGTTGTTTTCAAACGTAAACAAACAAAATGGCGCTTTCTATACTTGTACACAACTGTACTTGTACTTGTATACAATGGTCTAAAGGGAAAGCTTGTTTTGCTATACTGTTTGCAAATTTTTTATTGTGTTAGTCAAATGCGTTCATTTAAGCTCAGATGAGCTGTATGCAAGAAACTGTCTTCTATTGATTTCTGATTTTCCCTGTTGTAAATAACCTCGAATATCTTTGAAGGTCACTCTACAATTTCGAGCTCAAAAAGTTTCATGACAAAAGGTCACAACATTAAGACAACACGTGTTGACTTCGGAACCTTTCTACGTTTCACATTAGGCCAGATTGGCGGATGTTTTGACTAGCACGGAAATGACCTTAGCACACTTGTAAGTGTATCTAGACCAGTGGTGCACACGGGAGTCTCACGGAGCCACTCGGCTTTCACGTACAAGTCGTGTGTGCGACGCTGCCGAACTTTTGCGCCGCTAGCAGCCGGTCAGTTTGCGTTTGTACTTCATGCTGTAAGCATCGCAGCTTTTTGGTTGAGTACACACATACTGATACAAAAATAATGCGCTTGTATTGGGAGCTCTGCCAACGCTGTGCACCACTGATCTAGATGTTGTGAACTTTTGTCATGAAACTTTTTAAGCTCGAAATTGTAGAGTGACCTTCAAAGATATTCGAGGTTATTTACAACAGGGAAAATCAGAAATCAATAGAAGACGAGTTTCTTGCATACAGCTCATCTGAGCTTAAATGAACGCATTTGACTAAAACAATAAAAAAATTTGCAAACAGTATAGCAAAACAAGCTTTCCCTTTAGACCATTGTATACAAGTACAAGTACAGTTGTGTACAAGTATAGAAAGCGCCATTTTGTTTGTTTACGTTTGAAAACAACTGAGATCATCTGATTTTCAATTCTCTCATTCTCCGCACAGAGTTACATTCAAGTTTCAGAAAAAACTTTAAAATGTAAATTGAGAAATATTTCAGAAAAGTTTGTTTTTATTCATTTGAATTGATTAAATAAGAAATTAAAAATGGATGCCAAGTCTTGCATTTGCAATAATAACGATAATGNCAGAAAAATTTGTTTTTATTCATTTGAATTGATTAAATAAGAAATTAAAAATGGATGCCAAGTCTTGCATTTGCAATAATAACGATAATGTAAATGTTCCAGGCATATATATATTAATTTAATATTTGATAAACTTATCGTTTTGCGCTAAAATACAACAATGTGTGTAAAATTCGTTTTCATTGTTTCGGTTTTGAATACCATATTCGTGCCTGCCGGTGGAAAAAATAGGTAATTTTGCATTTATTTTTAAGAAAACATATAAATTAAAATATNTATAGCAATTAAGTGAAAAAATTTGATTTTTACAAATTTAGTGAGCAGAACGATATTACGGAAAAATCGTAAATGAACAACTATTTTTTCTTCCCACCTGCTTTGGTTTCGGCAAAAAGTTGATTAGTTCCTGCCGGCGATCAAGTCATTTCAACCACAAAATACTACTATTTGCAAGAAACCTTCCCTTAAATTGTAACTAACTTTTTATTATTTATTAATTCCTTTTTGATATTCAGCAATAGCAAGATGGAAAAAATTATAAACCAAAATTAGTAATATTTTTATAAATGTAGTTATAAAAGTTCACAGAGGAAACGCCGCAAAACAATGTATTGGCAACGACATAAAATGTATGGCAATTTAGATGCCATCAGAATAATAACTACGATAAAAATGCATGAGAGAAGTGTGCGAAGGAGTAAATCTTTTCAATTTGAACAAAAAAAGTGTAAAGGCCGTTGTAAAATGGTCAACAAATATCTTATAAAATATATTCATTTTTACCATGACAAAAACATTACAAGGTAAAATCATTGAAAGACAGTCTGACGTTTGCCAGCAATATAATTTTAAAATTCGAACTCAAGCTCACAGACACATTCTCATTTTTAATCTCAAACAACAATTGTGAACAATTTCATTTTATTTTGAATTTTATATGATTTTAAAGTGTTTGCAAACGTCTGAAAAAAATCATGGCCGACGAATTGAGAGAATGGTTTTACTTTCTAATGTTTTTATCATGACTTTTACTGGGTGTAATGGAAACTCAGTGAAATGAGTATTAAGGAAAAAATTGTGAGAATAATAAACAGAAAAAGAGATGGGTGCACAAAAAGTTAAGTTAAATGTTGTACCAAAATTCTTAAAAAGTAAAGAAATCTATTTTTTTTTTGAATATTACTGTATAGAGCTTTTTAAATCTATTTCTATTTTTTATGAATAAGGCCATAAGTATATACCGTTTTTATAAATAAATCTTATAGCAAGATGCTATATATTTATTTATACAGTTTTTGGTTGGCGAAATATGTATTATTTTTAACTTAATAAAAAAGCGTATTTAACCACATTAAAAACACTGCCGCCATCATGCTTTTCAGTTTGGCAGGCACGTCCGCTGTTTGGCTGGGCGAAGGATTCCATACTTGTAAGTATATACGATGCTTTAGACGAAGTTTTTATATAACAAAAGAGACATTCTCCACATACTGCGAAAATATTTGGTATTTTCTCAAAAGCACTGAGCAAGTATGTAGTGTAACGTTGGAAATTCGTTTAAATATTTATAAAAAAAATTTTGAGTTAAAGCGGGCCCGGACGATAATAGAAGTTTATATTATTAAGTGAAAATAAGCTAACTAATAAAAGAATACCTATAGAGTAATAAGTGTTTATAGTTAATTTTTTTTAAACCAGATAAAAGTTGGCCGTTATAAGTGGACAAAAAGTTGGCTTTTATAGTAGACGGCTACGAAATTCCCCACAGGGTATATGTACATGTATATACATATCGAGCTGTAACCGCCAAAATAACGTAATTATTTTTTTTTTTTAATTTTCGTTTTAATGCAGAAATGCAGGGAAATGTTTAGCTATTTGTACAACGATTTAGGGGTGTGGTAGAGGGGGAGGAGTGTGGGGTGTGGGCCCCACAAGTCCCCCCCTAACCGAAAGAGGATTGACGCCACTTTATGAAAAGTCTCCCCTCCCCCCAACCCCTCCCACAGACCTCTGGGGAGCTGTTTGAAAATAGGGGAATTTTAGATTTTTTGCAAGGAAAAAACAAAGTTAAACTTGCGTCCGAAGGAGGGCTGAACACCTTTTGCAGAGAACACCTTTCTGCGTAGGCGGCCTTCGGCCGCGCTTAGCGATTATAACCCTTACTACGTGAATTCTCCTTTCTGTGACATTGTGATGTAACCTTGGGAAAAGATGAGGTAACTAGAATTCCGTTTCTGTGTGGTAAACCTGGGGCTGCCGCCCCAGTGATGTCTATTTTGGTTACTGGGTGTTTTATAAAAATATTTTGTATATAAAAATGTATATACAAATTTATAACAAAAATTTGGAACAAATACCAAGCTCCAACCGACATTATTGTTAAATTAGTGCACAGATTTAGTAAATTAAATTTTTGTAATAAAGCGTGAACTGTTGTCTACAAGCGTGTGTAAAAGTTTTTTGATTCGTTTAACGCGTTTGGGCACAGCAACCCAAAATCGTTGTACAAATTCATAAACAGTACCCGAAATGCATCTAGATGCTCTAGGAATGGTTCTGCATCAAAAAGAAAAATTTGAAAAAAATGTCGCTTGCGTTACTTTGGCGGTTAGGGCTTGATATTTAAAAAATTACTCATATACAGTCTTATTTATACTCTAGTTCAATGCGGAAATGTCAGCTGAAAACCCGAAAATAGTCTAATCGGAAATTCCATCGTTCCAAACCGATTCAGTTGAATCTGGTTCAAGGACATCGTGCAATCCCTTTCATTTGACTCTCATCTTTTGTAACCCAATGAACAGTGCGGATCTTATATTTTTTAGACAGGTTAGGTTTAGGCAACCATATTAAAATTCTAAGTAGGAAAGTTCACTCTCCTGTCGATAGATACAGGTAAAGATGAGAATAATAAAACACCTTTAGACTTAGCTACTAAAGGAGATATGATAGAGCTTTTAAAGAAAGCGCAGCTGGATCAAGGATTGTTAATTAATGCACGAGATGGCAATCTCAACAAAGTAAAAGGTCTTATTATTATAGAGAAAATCTCGTCAAAATCCGTTCAGTAGTTTTCGAGATTACCGCGTACAAAAAATCTCGACATTCTTTTATACTATATATAGATGACGAATTCCGTAATTGAAACCTCAACCCAAAATACGCCCCCACTCTCTCCCCCTACAGATCCTACTTTTTTTCTTGTCGATTTTCACTAAATTTTTCCCATTGAAGCAAAAGTTTTAATGAGATATTACCGTGATATGTTCATGCTCATGCCACAAATGCCACAATATCCACCACCACATTGCTGCTCCCACAACTTCGGCACCCACTGTAGTAATTTTCGACTGTTTGGCTGGAACAACTCGGTATGAAACTCTATTTAAAAGATTATTACATAACACAAAATTTGAAGAGAATAACTAACCCACTCACACATGACTCTTTCTAATTCCTTCTCTATGAATTAGTTTAAGATACCGCCATCCGTTTTGCGTACAAAGAAAATGGCGGAGAGGAACTATTGCAGGAATCATCATCATGGAACCCAATAGTAATAACCCAGAAAATAACTTAATTTAGCATCGAATTAAAAATGCACACGATGCATCAATGTTTTCAAATAGATCTGGAGAAACATCGATGGAAATATCGATTCATCGATGTTTTTAAATGAACTACTTACATCGATGGCGCATATTCATAGTCATATTTAGGGCCTGTGCCAATCGGTAATGGGCTGTTTTTGCTTATGCGTAAAAACACATTTAGTGCATTTAGCTCTAAATGCTACTCTAAATGTCCATTTATCCATACAAAATTCGTCACCTAAATGCAACTAAATGCAGCTCCATTTTTGCATTAAGAATCTAAATGCTAAAAGCAACCCTGTGATCTTCCAAAATTTCCACGATTCGAACATGGTTTAATGAGAAAAACTGGCAACATTGCTTTTTCGAGTATACAGTCGCTAGCTGCGTTTCAGTGATCGCCGATCGAGATTTAATTTATTATTTTAAATTATTTGGATAAAGAAAAGTTACGCAAATTCAACATCGATATGATGCTGATAGAAATCTGGATTAATTTCTGATCAACTCTGTTTGTTTTGTTTCCTAATTAAGTGTGGAAATTATAATTGACAGCGCCGACAAATGAATATATACACAAACAAATGTTCGGTTATGGTTAAAACAATTCAACAGCAATAAAGGCAAAGAAAAAAAAACGTTGTAATGTACAAAAACTAATAAAAACGTTCGTAATAATAGTATTTTGTACGATTTGGGCACGCCGAGTGCGAAAATACACGAAATAAAGGGAAAATTGAGTGAATTGTACATCGGAAATCGACGCGAAAAAATCGCTCAAGTGTGCGCACGTTTGCGGATTCGAAGTTAACAGCTGAATTCGCAACGTATTCGCAACGATGGAATCGCGCTAATGTGCGCTTCGCTTTACGATAAATTCTCACGGAAAAGATAATGTGCAAAAACCCCTACTGAAAAGGAAAAAATTAATTCTAAACCGAAAATTCAATATAAAAAC